AAGCTTAGCTTTCAAAAAAGCTGCCCTAGACTTCCTTCAGAGACCTTTTCCCCTGGGAACCTGGGTCTTTCACTCGCCCTTGGCATTAAAAATCTTGAAGGCCACAATATTCCTCAATCTGTAGTCATGACAAATAACCAGCATCACAGATGACCTTTTTGAGTAACTGAGTAACGTTTTGTCTGTCATCAATAGCCTCCTCTGTTGGCTCACTGAAGAAGTTAAGAGTTGCTGAGTCTATTGCTGGGAAAAGTCTCTGGCGAATGAGTACACGTGGTGTCATTCAGGAGATCATGGCTAATGGCTGTATATGAGCATCTGAGCCTACTAGGCACTGGGAAGATATGGTAGACTTTGATTTTGTTCATTGCTGTTTCACAGAAACTAACAACACAACCTCTGTTGGCTATTGCGGATTTTTTGCATTAATAAATATTTCATATAAGTGGTATATATTTTTTTTCCTCACAAATAAGGTGATGTGCTCTTTATACATAAGCGTGTAGAAATCAATGAATCAGTCAAGCAATAAATAAATCTATTATCTATAGACAGGTCTTATATGGAATACATTTGGAGTTTTTGGAAATTATTCTTTGAAAAAGTTTCAGATAAAATGTACAACTTTCAGAGTAGGCCAAAGAGAATGTCGGGAATCTGGAAAATGTGTTTTGAAGAAAGAATGCATTTATTGGGAAAGAAATACTGAGGGGAAGGGACATTACAAGAATCTGAATTAAAACATCTGGAAGGTTGCTATAAGGTGGAAAGAGAATGCTATCTTCTCCAGGTATATCTGTTATCTCTTGCCATATGTAGTAGACAGATGAAGAAGACAGAAGTTTAGCACCATCTACAAATGTTTGATGTGTTACATATATTAATAAGTATGTATACAATGTAACGTAGAATATTTAGAAGATGCATTTCATCTCCATCCCTGGAAGTCTTAAGATAACTTCCATACAAACAGTGGTCAGGAATGACATTCTGACCTTGTTCTATGGCACTAAGATGTACTAATCAACACTGCATTGTCTTCTCAGGTTTTTATTGTATTACATGATGCCTTCCTTCAGATTAACCTTGTTAATTTACTGGAAAGATGTTGGTATTTCATGACAAGCTTCTGAAATCAAGTTCTTAGACAATATTTTTTTTTTTTTTTTTTTGTAATGGAGGAGAGTACAATAAATACTTACTATTACAAGGGAAAGATTGAAAGAATTAACTCAGAACCTTCAGAAAAGGACAAAGTGGCCAAAATATGTTTATCAATGTCTCAATATTTTTAAGGCAACCTAATAATTTTTTTTTTGTATAGGTAATACTCTAGGCCTTGTTTGTTCTCCTTGAACAAGTTCTCCTTTTACATTTCTATAGCTTTTTTTTTAAACCCAGAACTTTCATGCTTTATAGATTTCTGTCCATCTAATAAATCCACTTCAATCTTGGACTGCTGTTGAGATGTGTGCTCCCTCTGTGCGAGACTCGCACCATCCTGCTAGGGCTAAAGGTTTGTGCTTGTTCTGTTCGTGAAGAACTGAAACTGCTTCTACCAGGTTCTTGGCAATACTAGGCAGAATATTTGCAGGTAGACCAATAGTTGTATGCACAGGGACAGAAAGAAGAGTCATATTTGTCCACCTTGTAAAGGAGCTCTCTGACCAACCACCCAGCAACCATTCCCAGGAAGTAGCCTAGGTTTAAGAGACATTCTCCTCTCAGTAGCTGGCCCTTATGTGAGTTCAGGGTGCCTCTATCCTGGGTCCACCACTTCTGGTCACTTGGGAACATAACTGCAAACAATTTGCCTGTGCCAGCCACAACCCTTCATAGGTGCTCAATCACCAGTTCAAGCTGTGACCTAACAGTTCTCCTACAGTGCTTTTGGGTGGTGAAGTGGAACCAAGAACTGGTCTTAAAAAAAAATGAATAAATAAATAAGACTGGGGTTAGTAGAATTGCTTCTCTAGTCTACTTCACCCCGGGACTATAAAAATGTATGTATCAAAGGGTGCACAGGAATAAATAAGTGTGTTCTTGCCTGGCAAAGGCAGAAGCAGCCATTTCAAAAGACAATGGCAACCTTCAATAATCAGGCTTCTCTGGTGTGAGACTTGAAGCTGGAGAATGTGTTAAGAAAAAATTTATCCTCTGCTTTCTTACTTCATGTTTACATACCTCTGCAACTGCTTAATGGAGTAGCATAAGAAAATGGTTATCAGTTTTTTGCACAACTACAGAGTCAAAACAAATGAGAGAACAGCTTCTTCCTTCTCTGCCTAAATATTATTTTGTGTAGAAAAAATGTAGAAAATATATTTTTAACTTTCTTTCTTTCTTTTTTTTTTTTTTTTCTGTTGCACCATCAGCAAATCCCTAGTGAATAATAATTTTTGTCATACAATGTTCATACGGCATGTTATTCTCCACTTTTTCTTTACAATGCTAAAACTGTTCTTGAAAGAAATATTTGGCAGAAAACATTGGACAAGGCCCTCTGCAATGCTTTCTTTAAAAAAAACAAAAAATAAAAACTGCTTTTTCTTTTTTAACACACATAGCTAATACATTTTGGTCTGAATTTCTTTCCTTCACAAAAGCAAATTTCAATCCTAGTATATAATTTATGATCTTGGCATCTAGCCCAAACATATGTACATGTTGAAATCAGTTTTGCATCTGTTTAACTTTATGCACATGAGTAGTCTAATTCAATTTAATCTTATGGAATGACTTGTATGAAACCAAGTGTTTGTGGAACAAGAATTTCAGATAGTAGGGTTCTTGAGGGCAATAGCTTCTGCTTGCTGAAACTATGTGGTTCCTACCACAGGAAATTGTATCTAGATCATCTAGGATCTCTCTTCAAACTATAGCTGTAGTAAGGAGAGAAATGATGAAGTGCAAAAGAACATTTCTTGCAAGCTAGATTACTTTCTACTTCCTTTTCTTCCTCTTCTGAGAATCTCTTTACTATTAAGTGAAATCAGTCATTCCTTCATAGCAAGCTATCAGACTGCTGCTGTTGGCTTTATGGTAGCCAGTGACAAAGTTAAATACTGTTGTTTATATATGCTACACTCTCCGGAATGTTATAATCATCATGTCCTATCTGGATGGAACCATGTTCTTCCTGAAACTTACTATTATTCAATGAATTGTGCAGCTGCTACAAGGAAGAGTTATGAATGGGCAGCAGTGTAGATATTCACCATCTTCCCCAACAAAACATCAGTGTGCCAAATAAGAGAACAGGGTTTTTGCTGCTCTGCCAAGTCTTATTTTTCCACACCATCTCATGTCTGCTATCCTGAACCCTGCAATCAGGCAAAAATTTTTTGCCACGGAGTTGGAGGCTGTAGGAAGATAAGAGGTGATGCTGAGCTTACTAATCGTTGAAGATATTTGCATCCCAAGCTGGATTTTCTGTTTTCTTCTGCTATTTCTTCATTCTTCCTATCTCCATTATCTACGCAGTGAAGAGACTCTTAGGAAAGGAACTGAGAAAGAGGCTGCAAGATCTGCTGTTAGGTGCATTAGATATTTAAAAGTGGAACTCAAGAGGATTTGTATTGTGATAATGTAGTCTGGGAAGGTTAGATAAGGAAGGCTTGGACAAGGAGTGCTGGAAAGGCAAGAAAATGAATGGGAGTGACTGCAAAACTGATGATGTAAAGAAGACAAAGATGAGATGGAAATGAAAACAGGGAAATAAAAAAAGTTATGGGAGTAAGAATTTAAAGCAAGAAGTATATGTTAAAGACTAATGTGGTTTTGTTGACCTTTCCCTTCTACCTCATTACACAGCTACATTTATGATTGATGAAAACACCCCTGAAATAAGAAGCGAATTTTGGGAGGCTCGGAATATTGCTCAAAATGTGATTTTATGTATGTGTATTTGAAATAAATTTATGATTGAGGTATTATGCTCTTGAGGGTTTTTTGGTGGCATTTAGATGAAGGAATTCATGTGAAATTCAAAATGTAGCACCTGATTTAAATTCTCTGAAGCTAACAGAAAACAGTATGCTTTGAAGTGATAGAAAAATATATTGAAATATTACAGGATTAAAATATTATAGAAATAAAATTGAGCTCTGAATTACCTTCAGATGAATGTGATGGCTCTGTTGAAGATTCTGTGATACCTTTGTGTGGCTGGTGTAAAGATTTGATCCTAAAGTGTTAAGTCATATAAAGCTTTTTATTCCTGTTGTCTTTGTGGTTTTCATTCTGAAGCATATGCAGAGGAAGCAGGTAACTGAAGTCTTAGTGTTACAGGGAAAATTGTACAGTATTGACCCTCTTTGTAACTGAAAAATTTTGGTCCTACAACTGGGTAGAACTTTAATGAGATGGTCATCTGATTTATACGAAAAGTTGACTGTTCTGCTAAGGTGAAAATTCTGAATGTTGATATGTGAAAATGGCTGTACAGTACATTTCTCAGCAGTGCATTCACGATGTTGGCAAACCTACACACCTCTAATTCAGTGTGGGGTTTTGCAAGTGAAAACTAGAAACTTACTGCACCTTTTATATTTCATACCAATTGAATTTATATCAGTTTTTTTCTAGTGAAATCTGCTTTGCTTTAAAATGTGTAACATTTAATCATATGTGGTTTTATGCAATTTTACTGCCCCTTATTTATTCATGGCTAGTATACAGAAGTCAGTATTTCTTAGAATCTTCCGTGTGTAACACTTGGACAGTGCTGTATAGCAAATACTTCATCTTAACTGTAATTATGACAGGCAATCTATTTGGTAATTGATTTACTGAATTTGCATCTGGTCACATTTTTTTAAAGCATGGAAATGAATATTATGGTGAATTGTTCATTTTTAAAAGGATCATGAGCACATTTTGTTGAACAAAGGATAAAACAAAATCATGGAATTATTTAATGTTGAAGAAGTGTTTTTGATGAATAGACCTTATTTCTATGGTGATTTTTTACAAATGTATTTTTTAATTTCTTTTTTTAGTCTCCTGCACATAGCTATTCAAGCTATGACTCTGGCAAAAATGAAAGTGTAGACAGAGGTGCTGAAGATCTGTCTCTGAATCGAGGGGATGAGGATGAGGATGACCATGATGAGCAGGAAGATCCTGAGAAGGTTAATGAGTCAGATGGGGTAGAAGCTGAGCGACTGAAAGCTTTTAATGTAAGTCCTTCTGCACTTCCTGCTTTGCTTACCTCTGCTATCTCTTTTTACATTATTATTTGTGGGTAAATTTGACAGTATTAATGGCACATTAATTTGTTTGATCTTTCAGTTATTATATTAATGCAGATTGCCAAAAGAAGACAGATTTATTGTGCTTTGTTTAGAATTTAAATCAGAGTGCCATCTTCACCAGTGAAGAAAGCAAAGCTTTGTTTTGTGTGTGTGTGTGTGTGTGTGTGTACCTGCGTGTGGATGTGTGGATGTGCATGTTCAGTCAGTGTACGAAAAGGGGCTGTAGCTAGTTTATCAGAAGACCATTCCACTGGTCAGCTGTTCTCTTTTGCTTTCCCAGTGTATGTAATTGTGCATGAAAACACAAGCAATTGTTCAAATCAAAAGTGAAATTCACTTCAATAAAATGAAGTAGCAATCACTGCTTATTGTTAATGATGAAACTAAGTGTTGCCTATTTTCATAGTCTATTCTGGTTTATCTCTCAAGTTCTATATCCTGTAGACTATTCTTTTCTTTTTTTTTTTTTACTAGCTTCTTCCCACTCCCTATATAATCCTTTAAAGTACTATTTGCTTAATATTTCTGGCTTCCCATTACAAAGCTATTCCGTGGATAGAAAAAATGTCAACCTATCAGTAATCAAGACAGAAAGCTAGGAAGAGAAGAGAGCAGCCCTCCAAACCCGTCTCCTCTGTCTCCCTCTTGCCAACAGATGTTTGTCAGGCTGTTTGTAGATGAAAACTTGGACCGAATGGTCCCAATCTCTAAGCAGCCCAAAGAAAAGATCCAGGCTATCATTGACTCATGCAGGCGACAATTCCCTGAGTATCAAGAGCGTGCCAGAAAGCGCATACGTACTTACCTCAAGTCCTGCAGGCGGATGAAAAGAAGTGGTTTTGAGATGGTGAGTTTTGATTTAAAACCCAGCCCTAGTTTCCATCAAAACCCCATACGTAAATCCATGACACTATTTTGTTTTCATCTTAGTGTCTTTTTTTGTTTTTGTTTTTTTGTTTTTGTTTTTGGTAATACCAAGTCAGAGGTTTCCTTTTCCCTCCTTCATTCTTCCTGTATTTATCCCCTTTCTTCATTGGTTTAAAAATGAGAGACTAGAATTCACAAGATGAACTAATACGGATCCATAGGAAAAGAAAAATAAAATAAGGGATAGGGAGAGAAACCAAATGATGGCTTATGTGAGTGGTCATCATCATGGCTCATTTCCTACACAAGGTTACAGTTAGAAATTTTTGCCTGGCAAAGTCTTAAGTAAGGCAGGTTTTTCTTTAAAATGCTTTCTCTGATTATACTTCTGTGAGCTCTGTGAAAAATAGATCGTGCTAGAGAAATGCTATCTCCAAGCAAATGCCCAGTGCAGTAACATAGCGTTGGCAATTTTTTTTTTCTCCTTGCACAGTTTATTCTATGAGCTATGAGTAGAAGTTACCCCCTTGAGTTCTTTCAATTGATATAAATCGAGTTTACGTTTTGAGCATCAAAATGGTGCAGTAAGTGTGATTGAACCAAAGACCACGAAAAGCATATTACCATACAACTGGCATTGTTTTCAGACATTACTATTTTAGAATCACCCAATCCCCTGAGAATGGGTAAAGGATAACACTTCTCACCAGATGACAACTTTTTTTTGTTTCTAAAAACCAATCTTTTGTATTTCCCAAACCCTGCCAGGAAAGGTGCAATAAATTAGGTACGTACACACCTTATTATTGAAGTGTCTTAGCTTTCACTCTGGCCGTTAGATGACAGTGAAATCACCTCCTCTTTACAAACAGATACCATTTAGGAACCAAACATATCATTTTTTATTTTAATGAATCATCTGCAAAACCATTGATTGCATTGAAAATATTATTGGGGATCATTGAATTTTACTGTTTCTCTCTCTCTTTCTCTTTCCTGCAGTCTCTGCAGAATACTTATGTCCATATGCTATTTTAAGATGTTAGCTGACAGTTTTTTATAGGGTAAGACCATTGTTGGATATTACAAAGAGCAGAGACAGAAACAAAACTGTGTTTGTGATTCTAAATGACTGCATTTCTTTATTATTGAAATAGTGGGATAATGCTATTTCTGAACAATGGAAACACAGATGAAAAGACACAGGTAGAATTAAGGACATCTGTACTGATAAAAGTGCCAAAGATTGGCTGACGGTGTACATGTCAAATTGTACAGATTTCCAATGTATAAGAAGGAGAACAGAAAGTAATTTTTTTTTATATAGCACGTAGCATCAACTTGCATCTATTCACTCCATCTGAAAATAATTCAGCAACATCAAGTTCACATTTCATGATGCAAAATATTTTTGTTTTGCTGTACTTTCAAATGAAAATACTAACAAAATTAGCCAGTGTTAGCAAGCCTCTTCACTGTTCTGATGTATGACCTCATTAATCACTATTCACACTGATGAGGAGTTATGTAAACTGAGTCCCTTTTTTGTTATCTGAAAGATTTGTGCAACTCCTTTTCGGTGTGAATAAGGAATTTACAGTCTGACCCATAAAAAGCTAGGTTGGCCTGACCTTAGAGGTTTATATATATTTGCAAATGTTACTTTCAGATGAATAAAGGTTGTAGGATCAAATTTATTCCCTTGAGAGGAAAAGGAGCAGAGAAAATGATTCAAATATGCAATCTTTGTAATTCAGAAATATTTCCTATAATATTCCATTACATTTCATGGTGGGCTTTATCTCATTCCAAACAAACAAATCACCCTCTAAAATATTAAATTTCTGCCCATGAATGGAAGTGACAAGGCAAGACACTGCTGTTTGTTCCAAAAATTGAGGCTTTCATTGGGCAGAAGGGAAATCTGCAGGTAGGAGTATGAGCCAAAGACTATCCAGTGTCTTTGGAGGACTTCCCATTATCTTCCTGAGATAATAAATGACGTTTTATGCTTATGTCTCAAATAATTCCCAAATGGAATGCATATCCACTTGGTGGTTTTAATTATTTTCTAATTTCTAAATTACTGTATTAGTACCTCATGATTATAAGCAGTTTTTAAAAATATTACCATGGACAGAAGCACTTGACTGTATGATTATTTTGACCCTATTCACCACTTTGACAGTGGAAAGGAATCACTTTGTCTGAATAACAGCATTTGTCCAAAACAAGCATGAAAGGACATGTCGGTGTTGATTTGAATCAAGTACTACACTCAACTACAGCGAAACAGGATAATGATCTCCTCAGGAGCAATAGTGCTACCATTGTTACATTAAATAGGATGTCAGATAATAATCTCCACAGGTGGTGTCTTTTGCTATAGACATGTTAAACACAAGGTTTTCACTTTGTTCAAGGCCAGAATTGTATGTTTTGAGCATCTAGTTGTAGGAGAAAGAGAATTAATCTCTTAGGTGATATGTGACTGTTCAGAGTGTGCATGTAGAGTGGTGCAGCTATCTACAGCATCATATTGCAAAGTGAAGCAAAAATGTAAACACTAAATTTAATTGGTGTAAGTCTGCCTAGTAAAGATGAAAAATCATGCCTGCAGCATGCTTCTGTCAGTTATTTGCCATCTGTAATCCAAACGACACTTCTCACTGCATGCCAGGCCAGTTCTAGCTATGAGGCAAGAAAAAGATTCAGTCTCACAAGTGTTCATGTTTGTTAAGTTTCTCAGCATTAATTTTTAAGAGATACTTACATTTACTCTGCTCGTACTTACAACAGCTTGCAGTCTGTGGCCTCCAAGGCAGCTTGAATAGCATCTTGTTACAAATAGCCTTTGGAGAAATTGAATATGCTTTCTTTTTTTTTTTTTTGATTCTTCAGCTAACTATCATGCCACTTCCATTTTCATTCTGACACAAGCATATCTCTCAAAAAAGCACTGTAAAGTTTTTCTCAAGAACTGTAAAATCGATTTTCTCCTCAGGTTCTCTCCTGTGTATGGTCTACTGAGAATGTTCTCTCACCAAATTCTGTGATCTTGCTCACAATTTTTGATTGAGAAGAAAGTTTTTTTTTTTTTGATCCTGAAATCACTGGCTTTCTGATGAGGTCTCTGGGTTCTGCTTCCACTTGTGTTATGGTGTATCACTTTATGAACTTCAAGAAGTTCTTGAAGACTAAAATAAAGTTTTTCTTTATTAACCCACAATAAAAAAAAGAATCAATTATCACTTCTCTCTGAAGGACTGATGGTAATGAGAATTCCTTTCTATATAAGAAGTGTTATCTGACCTATATACACTATACAAGAGGGGTTTTCTCCCAGAAATAGTCAATGACCTATTTCACTAATTTTAAAAATGCATACTTCAGAGTTGTCCCTGCCTATGGATCTGTAGGAAAAAAATACAAATTAAAAAAAGATAGCAGACAGCTGCTGATGGTATCTACTTACTTAGTCCAGAAAAACTTAATGTTAAAAATGATCAAATGGGATTGAATTATCTTAATAATCTTATCTTTGTTCTACTATCTGCTCCATCCCATCTACAAGATTTCCTATCATCAATCTCACTAACTGTATTTTGTTTGAAACAGCACCTTACAGTATCATTTGCACAGATACATTTTTTTTGATGTGCATTACAAGACAAGATCAAGGTTTTAATAAACTTGTAGTCACAGAGAGATTCTTTTTATTTTTATTTAAGCTAGAGTAAACCTTTCTTGGTAGACGCTACTGTAATACAAAGAAATGTTATCAAAGAGCAGTGTCACTACTGTAATATATTGTAAACAAATGGCTAAGTTATAAATGCCTTTCAATGTCTGAAGATGTTTGGATGTGTAAGAGACAAGAAAAGGAGTAATGCTCTCCTTTGCCCTAAAGACAGCTCCTGAGTTACATCCTGTTGTTCTTCCCAGCTTCTATCCTACTGCCAGCATCAACAACAACAACAAAAAAAACCAAGCTTGATGTCTTTTGATTCTTTTGTCTTTTGTTTGTGCCAATTGGCTGCAAATGGTGTTTCTACAATTTGCAACTGTGCACGCATCAAGATGTTTTAAACGCATCTATTGAGGCAAAGTTCTTCTGTACTGTAATTGAACAAATTCTATGGGGGCTGTTTTCAGAAGGTGGTGTGTTTTCTGAAATCTGCCTCTTTGCAATGTCTCTGTTGAGTTTTATCTTTACAGAGAGGAAGCTTCCATGACTTAACCAGTTTAGTGTTGAGTAGTCCAGCTGTCCTTGCAGTCACTTGACTTTTCAGACCTCTAGGCCTCTGTTGGTTGGAAATGTTGCAAGCATTTTCAGAGTATGAAAGCCTGCAGGTTGAGGGTTATGTGCCTAATTTGTATTGATTAAGTAAGGAGGTATTAAGGAAAATCTCACAAAAACAGTTGCATAATGATCTACATATAGGAACAGAATTGTTATTTTATAGTGCACCCCAAACTCTTGATCTGTCCCTTTCCTTTCTAAGCACTTATCTCTTGTGAAACAGTGGTTAGTTTACACGATTCTGATGGGTAAGCTGGTTAAAAAGGGCAAAACTATTCTCTAAAAACTCACATCATTAAAAAATCCTAGAAACAAGATTTTTTAGCTATTGAAATTCCTCCCCTTTCTGAACAATTCAATGTGTACTGAAGTAATTTTTTAGAAACTACATTCTAATTCTGTCTCAGATATGTTTTGGTTTTTAGTAACTTATGAAGGTTCGAACAATTTTTTGAAAGTGAGTAGCAGATGTTATCCTATTTCCAGTAACTTTGGAATATGTGAAGAAGTTAGCTTTGGAAATAGGAAAAAGGCATGATAAAAGGCATGAAAAGGATGAAAACAAGAAAGTAAAAAATACAACCCTATATTAATTGTTCTTTTCTTTTGTGTTCTGTGGGAGAGAAAAAGGCAGAAATGCAACTTTGACGTTAGTTTCAGTCTCTTACTGGAAAATT